TCTTCGAGTCTCCTCAGAAGGCCCACTGATGCACTGAGATAAGCAGAATTAGCGAACAGGGTGCTGTTGGGCAAAATACCTCCTGAAGCATTGTGAAGGTCGTCTGTCCAACTTTTCCGATATGTTGGAGTAAAGGCAATGGGAACGAACGTGAGATTTCCTGAGGACTGGTCAGGATTGGTGCTAGTCAAATTGGAGCCTGAAAGGATTCTTCTAAATTGCAATGTTATGTGATCAATTAAGATAAATTAAATACATGTCGTAGCCTAACTTTCCACGGTAATAATAACTGTCAGTAAGCTCTTTTCTTCAAAATTCATTGTGTCCGAAAAGCGTTAAGTGGTATTGCCACTTGTCAGTGCACTTATAGTCCTTCTTACCTAACTTTATAGCTCTCCAATGACATCCAGTAATGACTGCTCAGAAAATTGAGTTTTTTGAAGTTAGTGACACAACCTGAAGCATTAAACCGGCTGTCTTGATGATTCACAGATTTTCATTGTCTTATTCTCGTGAAAATACCTTACTAGGGGTCCTTCTGTCAACGCTGGCGTTGGTACTTCAAATGCTCCGAACTACTGTAACCGCTAGTTAGTGAGGTTGAATTACACACCAACCAATTGGTAGGTGATCGGCACCACTTTCCAGTAGGTAAGGAATGTTGCTACCTCGAACAGAAGGTCTTCGAGTCTCCTCAACAGGCCCACCGATGTTAGGAATTAACGAACAAGACAAGGCACTTTGAATCAATATGTTGTGTACGCATCGATTATCCATTTTAAAATTCAGAAGTTGGTTGCATCCGAAAGTTGCAGGTGTTGCTCAATGTTAAGCATATTTTGAATGAACTTCAGTTGACAAGTAGAGATCTCACGAGGACTGCATTCACCAGTCTAACTGTTTTTTCATGAAGCAAATTTGTATCAAGTAAATTTCCCTAAGGTGGGAGGATTTCCAGCAGACCACCCAGCAATCCATCCACGTCGAAGTGCGTGAGGTGTCCAAGACGACAGTGAAGCCACAAGAAATTTGCGCGAGTTGATTTGGGCTACACAAATCCCCTTAGTTCTTCCAAATTCAATTTCAATTTCACTATCTCCAAATGGTAGCTTCTCTTGCCAAATTTCTGTGACCGATGTCTTGTTAAGGTCACACAAGTTCTAATAAACATGACAGAGGCTGCCACCATAGTTTGCTCATTGTCAATCGCATTTTTCATTCAAAATTTCGATTTTTAAAAATTTCCCACATTATTTAAGGTCGCAAGATTCCGGCCACACTTCTCAGTCATACATTTTCTGTTTTGTTTTTCAAGTTAAGTACGTTATGTTCTCAACTTAAGTACGGGCCCGTGTCCATAAACTTAACCCATTAGCTGATGTGTTGAATCAAATTGTGGAATTTTTAAAGGCCTGTGTTGTGTTGCTCACGTGGGTAAATGGAATCGTTTTTACCGCGGTAGTAGACTTAGTATGTTTCAACTTAATAAACTCAAAACTCAAAGTTCGGCAGGATATGAAGACGTTGAGCACTTTTGCTGTTCCCGTATTTCGATTTATTGTATTTTAACTGGCCCAATCTCCTCTAAGACATTCACTACAAATGCAAATTTTTGTTGAATTAAAGCGTCATGCTAAATTTCCTTGAAGTCACAATCTGTTTACCACAGGAGTTTCTTCTCAGTAGCTTCCAGTAAGTTGAATCCACTCCACAGACTTTTTTGCAGTTTATTTATAATCATCCTCTCTTCTTTGCATGCTTCATTTCCTGCAGGCGCATTTGCCTCAGATATTTTAGCACTAGTCAGCGGCGTCGGCGTTTGATTGGTTAATCAAAACCACCGTTTGTCGATTCGCCTAAACCAAGATAACTAGCCATCCCGTTAGGAGAATTTCATCTACCCAGAATTCGCAGATGCGTGTTCTTTCGGACAAGTTGGTACAGGTGTGTGGTGCAGCAGTTTGACAAGTTGGCACACCACAGCTGTCCTGTTAGGACACGATACCAGAACACAGTCATCGCTTCCATCGTCTAGCATAAATGCACGTTTTTACTCTCGATAAATCAAAAAAAAGTTCTGTTCATCAAATAGCTGCCTGGCCAAAACGTGTGGGAACAGGTCGGTCTGGTACACCGATATTTCTGCTTGGTGGTGTCGTCTTTTGTGTACGGTTTAGGCTTAGTGAACGCATCCATCAATGGAGGTCACGCTCTCCTGTCAGTTCCTCACTTGAAACCAGGCCAGTATCTGGCCAAATCTAGTTTTGAAGGCAGGGCATGTCATCGTGCCTTATCTATCTTGATCTCATGATGTATTCTGGTGTGAGAGAATTGGCGATTGCATTAATCACAGAGGCACTACGGAACACATCCTGTTGGTTTAGTTCCTCTGATTGGTAGCTAGACACCCGATTGAGTTAAAATGTATTGAAAAGGCTTTTCTCAATGTGAAGCAATTGAAGCTATTATCTTGTATATTTATAAGACAATCGTTAATTCACTTATTTTTGCTCAAGAATCACGGTTCATTCTCATGCACGAGGAAAACTAGTAACCAGTGGAATGTATGAACAGACTAAAACGGAGGTTGTCGAGCCATCAACTTAACAGGAAGCACACTTCTGAGAAGAAATCAGTGCAAAGGAAACTTTGTTTTGGGTGAGAACAGCGCCTGGTGTTCATCTGCGGTCTTTTTCTTGATTTCTTCCCAATACACGCGTTGCCCTATTTCTTCAATGGTTTCCCATAGTCTTTACGGCGTTAATTCCACCTTCTCAAGGCGTCTAACCGTATACATGATTTGTGGCATGTTTTGTTAACATAAAGGAGGCATTCCCATGCAACTGGCATTGCTGCGAACATGACCGCCTCTGCGTCATTGTAATTTTCATGGTTGTCTGTCTATAACCTGTTCGTCTACACTGTGGTGAGTGCCTGAGGCCCATTAATTTACCCTAGCGAGAATTCCACACCACGCGGACCAATTTCCTCGTCACTGGCTCTGCGCTGAATCGTCTTTAGTGTATGGGAAGCGAAGTACTTAACCCCCTTCGTTGTGAAATCATCTAATCGCACATTTACAGGAAGCCGTACCAGTTTTAGTGGGATCGCTAGTCCAATCCCTCCACTTTGTTTAGTATTGGGGAAATTGAAAGGCGACCATTGAAATCGGGTATAAACTTGCAAGTAAATTCACAGTAAACGCAGGCTGGTGCATACTGGGCCTTTGTGCCAGCGAAAAAATTTATGTTCTGCGGACAGCAGATGGGAATTCCCGAGTCAAACAGCTCCGGTTCAGACATTGTTAACTTTTGAAAGCATCAGCTGTCACGATGACGAGGTCCAAAGGTGACTTTGACCTTCAGGTGGTTTAGCAACACCAGTTACATTGAGTTGACAATAATTCGTGGTGTGTTGACACTGGTTGAGGTGTTATCTTGCAATTATCGTCAAACCTCTTGCTTGTCTTTTAGAAACCGCCTTTCCCAAAGCCACCTGCCACGACAGAAGCGATCAGGTAAGCGAATTTTGCCGAGTCCCGATTTCGGAAATTGGATCTTATGTCCGAGCATCCTTACATTTCGTGAAGTAGAACAATGACTGTGGAAGGAATGCGGCATGCTGCTAAATACTCTCCTATAGTATTTAATGAATCTGTAATTTAAGCAGGCAGATCATCATCATGAAGTTAGCGATTTCCGAGATCGCCTACAGTTAAAAATTTCTCGAAAAAAAACTTGTTTTTTACAACTTAGAGATCATGTGCTCTGATCGATTGGTGATTGCCGTGCTTGAATTTATAATCAGACCAGAAAAAATTCGTGTAGAATCTGCATATGTAGGCATGGGCGAAGGATAAAACTGCCTTTTTAACCATCCTGAAGCGCCCGGCCTTTGATTTGTTATTAGAAATTCGGATACCATGAATAATCTACTGACAGGTAAAAGTAGTACCAGGAAAGGCCTATCAAAACTCTTTTAGTGGACGTTGAATGGGACCCCTACACCTAGTGACTTGCAAAAGTAAACTCCCAAGAACAAAACAAGCATTTTAGCTTAGTAATATTTGTAAGTTGTGAAGATAACAAGATACATAATTAAAAACCGAGATTTTGGGACCTATAATAGGTATTTGGATGCGTTTGAACACATGGAATCGTGGTCACAATATTGCTTTCCAACCTGGTTGTAGACGATTGACGTCTGAGATAAGAACACTAACGATAAAATCGCTCCATTTCGTGACAGATGTTGTGCCATTCATTGCTTTTACTCGTCTGCTTCCTGTGGTCCAATTTAAAAAGTATTTAAACATTCGACTCGTCAAGACATGCAAACATTGTGGTTGTAAGGTAGATTGGTAGACCTTCGGCCGTGGATGTACTCTAGAGGCAATTTCAAACTGCTGGTTTTATGGGCATAAAGATCCAATGGTGCTTAGCTTATGTTCCACGTTTCCGGTAATCAAGGAGACGAAATCTGATGTAGATACGGGAAAACACGTGTGATCACTGTTAGTACAACGATCAGCGCGAGAGATTTGAGCGACTTCAACTGTTGTTTCAACTACAATTATTGTAGTGGCGTCTTCACCTCACTCGCCTAACCCCGTGTGTTAAAGTCTACTCAAGCTAACTAGTTTGGGAAGTTGCAATGAATCGCGCAGAGAGTACCTGCCGAGTGAATAACCTGAATCTCACAAGTGACCGTCTCTAAACTGATTGCTCTGAAACGGTCAAAAACGCGAAACTTATGTGAATACCCAGTCTTTACCGAACTAATTCAAAGTAAAATGCGTACTTTCACTTCTATGAATTTGTGTAAAACAAACGTTACTCATTAACCATGAACTGCAGTGTTTCTCAGTTTTACATTACCTAATAGACGTGCTTTGAATAAATCTCAGTGATTCTGGGCAGACAGTAATGATGAATGTAGATTGAATGAACAAGGTAAACAAGCGCAAAACAATCGAGTGTGTTTTCCCGTCTCTTTCAGCATTGCCTCCGCCCATCCCACCCGGTGACCTTGAACTCGTTTCGGTTACGGAGGACAACGCCCAGTTGTCATGGCACCCACCTCGGCCTGTAGCGCCACCCGACGACACCGGGTCTGGCGAACAAATCAACTATCGTGTCGAGATTAAGCCGGAAAATTCACCCAGGCAAGTGAAAAAGAGGCCAAAAGTTGGGGGTTCTCACGTGTAGTAATTGAACAGTGGCAGTAATGCTTTTCTACTTGCTTATCATAATGCTCTCTTTGTTTTTGATGGTAGAAAATTCTCTGTGATGACAGAGGAGCCAAGGATTTCATTCGAGGAGCTACGTCCAAATACGCTCTACGAGATTTCCGTTTACTCCTACCGACCCGCCGACGGGCTAGCCTCATTGACAGCCAAGCATATCCAAGTTACCACGAAAGCGGAAGGTTTGCTAATTTGCTCCCTTGCCTTAGTTTTCCTCCTTATTTAGTTTATCGACTGCCGATGGTGGCCAATCCGAAAGCCGAATCGACAGACTTTGCCACCCTCAAAGTCTCCTGGGAGCTGCCGCATGTTGAGCGGTCAGAAAAGCCGGAGGCACAAATAGCGTACTACAGGTAAGACTGGACGACTGTACTCACACGAAATTACGAAGTGTAATCCCAACTTCCTCCTGCAGTCCCAACAAGATATGGGATTGTTTTAAAGGAACACTTCCTAGATGATCTGTGTGGTTTCGTGTATGTGGTCTTGAACCACGCCGGGGCTACGGAATTAACCCTGGCTGGATTACGTTTCCCTGGTACCCGCGATGAAGGAAAAGGCCGGAGGGGACGGACATAAGCGTTTACTTCAGAGCTCAACCACGTTGGTGTCGTTGTGTCGCGTGTGGTGTTTGCGCGTGTGTATTTATACCTCGGATGTGTGAGTCATACGTGCGCTAACATCGAGACCTATGTGTGGGGGGGATACTCCAAGATAAATATCCGTGTGAATGAGGGGGAGTTGGGGATCCGCGCTGCTGTCGGCATGCTGCGAAAAGGGGAACCCTGTGTGGGAAGATGGAGCGACCGGATTAAGGGGTGTGAATAAACACGATTCACAACAGTCTTCAACCACTCCGGAGTCGCCGCGTTGCATTTGCCCGATTACACACCATGGAAGATGAGGAAGACTGAATACGAGGAAGGCAAAACGGCTAGATAGCTCACCCCAGTTGTGTCGTTGTCATGCGCGTGTTTTCAGATGCGGTTGTTGACCTTGAGTGAATTTATAAAAGTACACATGGCTCAACGCCCAAATGAATGAAAAGGGCAGTGTGGGGTGGTACAGGCACAGAGGTATGTGACCGACGGGAACTCTGTGAAAAGGTGGTGGGCGGTGTGGTGGAGCATGTGGCGTCTGGTTGATGCTCGCAAATCAACACGGTTCACCACGCATTCTTAGGCAGAATAATTGACTGTAATTTACCCGTGTATTCACGATTCAAATCCACATTTTTTTTCCAGCAGCATCTTCATCTTCCCCTAACGAGTAAAGGATTCTTGCATTTAAATGTTTGCCTTCTGCCGTTTTTTCCAAATTAATTTACTCTACAACCTCATCAGCCACCTCACAGTTGATTTCCACTTGCCTGACCTCTGTTCTTTGGCCCTGCTGCTTGCCAGTTGCATTCACTTCATCACCTTTGTCCAAGTATATTCTCGTGTGTGATCAATTTTCACTCATCCATACGCCGAGTGAATGACACAGCGTCTTCACGTGTGTGTTTATTAAATTTTCGAGGGCTCCAAACGCATGATTTGGGCAACTACCCCGCTTCCAGGGGGTCAATGCTTATGGTTGACTGCGGTGTGTGTCTGATTGTTCAAAGCCCTAAAACGTTTAAGTCAGCCTTCATCGATGTCTGTAAAACGGCCCAACCTACGCGTACACTCTTTATAGACAGGTTTCTGGGAAAAAAACTGCGAACCACTCCGAGGGTGGTCCTTTTGAAGTCTTTTTGTAACTGCGCGCACCACAAATCTTCAGGAACTATTTCCTGCGCCCTGATTTGTCGCTGTGTAGACTTCAAAACGTGAGGCTAGGATGGCAAACTGTAACCGTTAAACTGAACTAAGTGACGCCAATTTTGTATAACGACTTAATTTAGCACCTTGGTTAAAATCGTCTTATTTAGGTGTTAGTTGAATTATTTCTGTCCGTGATCTGACACTCAAGTCAATTAAGTGTGTGTGGGGACCAAACACTTCAAAGCAGATCTGTTGATTTGCTTTCATTAGACCGCTGAAGCAGTAAAGTGAGTAGAGCTTTTACCCTCATGCGATGGAGTTCATCCTTGAAGCAGCGCGATTTCGCAATTCCTTCACGGTTTGCCCGCATAGGTTGGATCTGTTGTGGGCCCCAGCATGTGGTCTTGAACCACGTCGGGGCCACGGAATCAACCCTGGCCCGATTACGTTTCCCTGATACCCGCGATGCAGAAAATGGTAGGAGAGGACGTGGACACAACCGTCTACTTCAGAGCTCAGCCACGTTGGTGTCTTTGTGTCGTGTGTGGGGTTGGCGCGTGTGTATTTATAGCTCGGATGTGTGAGTCGTACATGCGCTAACTTCGAGACCAAGGTATGAAGATACTCCAAGATAAATATTCGTGCTAATGAAGGGGGAGTTGAGGATTCGTGTGGCTGGCGGCATGCTGCGAAAATGGAAACCCTGTGTAGGTGGAGCGACCGGATTAAGTGGTTGAATAAACACGATTCACGACAGATCATTTTCGACTTGCTTTCTTCATCGCCGATCGCCGATCCGTGTTCAATAACTTCGTCTGTTCTAGAATCATGTTGTACAACTTGGCAGCCGAAGGTACTCCACACTCCCGTCGATGGGTGCCCTACAAGGTCCCTGGCGGGGCGCGAGTTACCGCCTACACGATTTCAAATCTCCAGCCCGATTCCTTCTACAAAATCCGCATTTTCGCAGTCTCGGCCATTGGCGTGGACGGCCACCCAGCCACGATCAGTTCCTCGCCCAGAATCATCTCCAGACCACCATCTGGGGCACCTCTTGAGGTACACTAATCATTGCTTATGCTTATGTTGATTTGGACTTAAATAAGAAACACTCACAAACAATCTGAAGAAATGTTAAACTTAAGAAAATCAGAGGATCTCTGAAGTGGGAATGTTGTCCTAACTTACCGTAATTAAGAGCCACCTACTTCGTGGTCGAATCTGTTTGCTCTCTAGAATTTTCGACTTGAGTAAATTTACCCGGAAATGGGTGCTGTGCTAGTGGCGCTCATATTAAAATTTCATACGTCAACTTGTGATGAATTAAACGTGTATTTGATGCTCTTTGAAGGTGGTGCTGTCTGACGTGGGAGCGTTGACAGCGGCCTTCACGTGGTTGCCTCCACATGAGAGCGAACGGAACGGAGAGATCGTGGCGTATCAATTGGAGTTCAATTCGCCCGAGTGGCTTGCTCCTCGTGAGCTCACTGTTGCGGATTCACTTAACTACACCATCACCGGTAAGCCCGTGTTCTCAAGCAGCAGCAGCAGCAGCAGCGCCGGCTTGATTCGTGTGGTACCACCGTCGTATGCCGTGTTTCTTTTGCAGGATTAAACCCAATGACGAACTACACCCTGACTATCGCCGCCGCAACCCGTGCGGGCATTGGACCGAAATCGTCGCCTCTGCTTTTCACAACGGCCTTGAAAACCAGTCAGATAGACAAGGAGGTGCAGGAGCCTAGGGAAGATGTGTGTCTCTGAATTCTTAGGCAGCATCTAGTCCTTAATGTTGGCAGTAATACCCGCATGTTTTCTTCCCGTTTCAGTCGTTTGACCATCCTGGTTTTGTTGACTCCGGAGTGGCAACCCTCCCCCCACTGAAGGTAAGTTCCTACGAAATAGTTTTTTGTATTTATAACACGGCGATGACCAGTAGTTGGTCGTTCTTTTCAGGTGCACAATCTGCGGTACGTGGCACAGGAGCGAAACATCCTTCTGCTCTGGTCAATTCCGCCCATATCTGCATCGCCGCATCGTTTCAAGGGCTGCATCGTACGCTGGGGCCTCATCTACCCTGGACCAAATAAGGCTGAAGTGAACTTGGAGAAGCGAGCATTCTCCATCGAACCACTTGGTAGGCCTTGGATTCCGAGTTATTTCTAGTGGGAAAGATTCTTAGGCTTCGCTATGTAAGATTCCCCTGAATTCCGCTCCAAAGAGGCAGCGTGACGGCGACGTTTCCAGTTCCATCATGAACTGGGATCATTATTTTACTGACGTCTGGCGCAACACTGACCTATTTTTGTTCCCATCGTCACTTTACTGTCTATCAACATTTTCGGTAGCAATCAACAATTAGCATTAGACAGTTAACAACTCTTACATTTTGAAATACCAGTCCTCTTTTTCGCCTACCCGTCAAGCAACAGTCATTCCAATTACGTTGGATTGACCGCAGCTAACAGCAAGGGACTAACAATACGCTTACAATCTGTCGGGTTACACCGGACGTGACGGTTAGCTTACAGAACATCATAAAGGTTCCGTTATTTTTCTAGAGCCTTCAACAACCTACATGATCTCCGTTGCCTTGCTAACCGATGACGGAGAGGGTCCGGTTGAAATTATAACCGCCCAAACTAAACCTGTTTCCAGTAAGTGTGCTATTCTTGATTCCTTTGAGGAAAGAATGTACCCTTTTTAACTCCAGTTATGGATTCATCGTGGGTTTAATTGAGTCGACCATCCACGTGCATTGAATCGATGCCTTTTAGGTGCGAAGGATTCGTTAATTCCCCTGAATGTGCGGGTTCTATCGGTGGGCACAGATTGGGCCATAATGGCCTGGGACTCGCCCACCTGCTCTGCTCTTGAAGACGAATTCGAGGCAAGTCGTGCCAGCAGTCGGAGAACCACACAGCGGGCCTCGCCCTGTGCCAGTGGAACATTCCCTCTCACCTACCAACTGCGATATGACATCATTGACCCTAAGGAGGCGGCAAACGTAGCTTTCGGTAAGTTGGCCGCAGACCTGATCGATATTTGTATGCCACTATCAGTTTCTGATTAAATCAACTTACACGAGATACATATCGTGGTATTTTTACACTGTGATGTTTTGTATTGCCATGGCTCTATACATCTTGAGCTTTATTTTGTCGTACATAACTATTGCTTACATGACGTCCTTCAGATTCGTATATCGACCAACCAGGCGCAATATCATCTTGCAATGATGTCCGCAACGAAAATAAACGACTGATTGGTCAGTTCGGTTTAATTGTGGGCCTCAAGCGCATTGGCTGTAATTGTGTTTTGCCTGTAACCATAGCTACACTGTCAGACAGCCAGTACCAAAATCCCTTGTCTAACACCAGCCCCAGGTTCCTAGAATAGGACTGACTCCGCGCTGAGAGCTTTTATTGATAGTATAAATTATTAATTATCTTGACCGAAAGGATCAAGAAGGATGATAGATTCGTACGTAGGGTGCTGTGGATGGGTGACCTACTCGGGTGGTTGGATTAGGCGGTCTTGTGCAAGCGGAGACGAAATTATAATTAGCCGTGATCCGTTCTGAGGAATGCCGATTTTCCAACAGTTGTAGCTAATGTGAACTAAGAGTCATCGAATTGTGTTTCAGCTAACTGTCCCGACGATTCCAGGAAGACGGCTTCCGAGGTGAGGGTAAACGTGACCTGGGTGCGTTTGGAGCACCTGAAAGCGGGAAGTCGCTACGTGGCATGTGTTCGCGCCATCACCTCTGACCCCTCGTCGGCGTCTTCGGCAAAAACTCGCATAGGCGATTGGAGCTTCGTGCAGATTTTTGAAACCCAAGAACCAGGTCAGTGGTACCCGAATTTACGGTGTCGCTAACCTTGCTAGTAATTAGAGGCGTCGCCTTGTTAATCCTGTGCACTTACCCACAATGCCTGCCTTCCCGACAGTTCCAATTTCGAACAGGTCTTGAAATATATGCTGTACAAAGAAATAATCTGGATGTGGCCGTGTTTTCAAGCGAACAAAATTGTGCAGACAGAGCCTTGACGTTTAAATTGTAAAGATTTCGTAAACTCAATCATCCAATGTATGCAGGCATTGATTTTACTCATTGTTTTCATGGGTGCTTGGTCTTTTAAGTGTCATTGTCGCTAGTCTATACAAAAATGATTTATAAATAATGCATTAGCGATGCGTTCACTAACGTTGGTGTTAAACAGCGCAGTCTTACGCTTTTTGTATAGATACGAAACTACCTATGCGTGAAGTTTATCGATTTGTCAAAAGAGCAAGTCGATTTTGATTGGCGGTCACAGGGCGTTCTTTGTCGCTATTGGTGGTCATTGAGGAAATAGTAGAGATTTTTAAGTAGTGAACACTGATTACATTCTGGATCATTACTCTCGACGTATTTCAGAGGTCTTGCTTTCGCAAACTTCGAAATCACAACCCTCAGTGCATTTCCCATAACTAAAGTGAGGATTTATTGGTGTGATCTGCCGGAATATGACCTCTGGTAGAATGCACACTAAAATCTTGGAATTTTACATTTTTCGACCATCAGTGGTTGTAATGTAACAACTCCTTTCCCAAAAATACGCCTACGTTATTTCTTACACACAGGAAATCTTGTGAAAATAATGTAACAGAAAATAATTTGCCTTTAGAATTATTTCCCACTTGCATTTCGAAACACGCATTATAGAAAGCCGAAGTTTCGGTGTCCGTAATCATCATTTTTCAGAATCTTCTACTCGTGTCTAGGTCTAATTGCTGTACTGTTCTGGGATTTGGGCTCAAATGTTTAGGCAATGACACGATTTATCTAAACACTGTCACTTCAGGATTGCTCTTTGATCAAACAGATCATCTGCTGGTGATTCAGGGAATTGATTTGCAGTAGAACTCCCATCATGGACGTAGGCAGTGGTAGTCTGCGTTAGCATTTAGTTGAGTAGCTTCAGGAAGTTTATCATTATCAAGACATTCAAACTTTAAGACGACTTGGGAGACAAGACGCTCAGTTGCGTTTGCTGGTGGTTGGCTTTCTGTGGGATTGAAATGCTTTGGTTATTTTTGTAGAATCACCGCCAGCGGACCCGCAAGCACAAGGTGAAAGCACTTTGAGTCTTGTGAACCAGTCCTCGAATGAAACAACGCCAAAACCGGAGAAGCCTTCACTAAATTTCAACTCCTCGTTTGTCGAGGGGCCAAGGTCATCGGGCCTACTTGGTGGCGGCAATTCCGATATCTGGTTGGCTCTGGCCGCCATCATGGTGACCACTATTGTCCTAATGATCATCGTTATTGTGGTGGTGTGCTGGGCCAAACGCAGTCCCATAATGGTTGTTGGGTGAGTTTTATTTCACAATTGCTGTACTTCACGATTTATTGCTAACTTTTACTGTCCACATGCAGAGTCGTATTTAACGCGAAAAAGGCGAGGATCTGATCTGCAATTTTTTCTACCTCGCTCTCGGTTAGGTGAAAATATGAGTTTATTAACCCAGCCTCACAAACGGCTGGCTGTTTCCCTGTAACCCGGCTACCAAAAACGCTTTACTTATTCAGTTTTCGACGCGCTGAGCCATAGAACACCCCACACACCAGTTTCATTCGTTACTTTGTATTGATAGCTATAAACCAGAACAACATGGAGGTGGGGGAGGAAGTCTAGCTGAGGCCAGCGTGAACCTCTTGAGTTCCTCAAAAGGCCAGAGGATGGGAGGTGGGGAGGCCGTTGGGGAGAAAATCACCCTCCAGAAGTTTTCCACTTCAAAGGCGCCTGAAAATCAACTTGTCGATTTCACTGCCAAGAGTCAAGGTGAGTCCTCATTCATTACTTCTTCCCGATTTTTTCTACTTACGGAGAACTTTTCCCCTCTGTCAAAAGCTTGTCTCGGAGGATGTGACGATCCAGATCCGCCACCTGATCTGCTTGTTGGGGTAATCGGGACATCGAGGTGCACAGTCCTTTCTTTACCGACACCGGGTATAGACTTTACGTGTCACCTCTACAAGGCATCTATTCCAGTGTGCTCTAAGACGGTTTCAGTCTTCAGCTGAACACGTTTTAGGACACAAAACCATTCTGTTTAGGATCTACTGGCTATTAGTGGTGTTGTCGTGATGTTTCCCTGACTGGCTTAGACTTGAATCCTTTGTCTAGCTTGCAGTAGATTCTTCTACCGACGACTTTCTCGTCCCGAGTTTGAGGTTTTTTCCCCTGAAAGTCGGTTCGATTTTGCGGGTTTTAGGTTTGTTTTTTTTACCAGTTTGCCTCATCTTCCTAGCCATCTTTCACTTCTCTTAAGCGGAAACGTGGACAATGGACAGTGACTCGATGCAGATAGCAGTGCCGGCGTCCCGTGCTGCCGTGGGCCCCCCTGTCATGGGGGTCCGATCAGCAGTCGATCCAATGGGAGGAGGAGGTGGAGGAGGAGGCAGCGATGCCGCGAGTCGAGGCGCAACTGGCAGCAGTGCCAGCTCCGCTGTTTCCCTTCTTCCTCCTACGGTCGGTGGCAAGCCGAATCCCTCCTTCGTGAGCCCTACCGGTAACCCCCTGATTAATCCGGTAAGCATGGGAATTTCGCTTAGGCCTTAACAAAGCATCTCTCGGCCTGGTAAAGCTCAGGGTAACGAGGCGACGTGTGGTTTGGTCGGGTATGTACACAGCAAATGATTGGATGATAATGAAACCACCTAGTCGTGTACTGAGTTAACAGAACTGTGGAGCAATTGGGTAGATTGAGAAGACCCCACCAAAGAGTTTGATTGTCCCTTTAATCTATAGTGCATGCCCAGTGGCATGTATGTGAATTTACAGTTCACGACATCTTTCCCACGAAGCCGAAGAAGTCTACACACCATCATTCCTGTTGAGAACCGGCGATTAGTTGCCGAGACATGGTCGAAGCAGGCGGAAATTACCCAGGCATTGTCCTGACCAATTGAAATCGATGTTCAAGGAAAGTAAGCGCTTATCTCTAACCCCTGGAGTTGAAGTTTCAATTGGGTCGTAGAGCATAGAATAAACGGGCTCAACTCACATCTGTTACTACCTTCATGCATATACAGGGCAGTGTGTGGTCATAAATCACGGACGCACACAGGCCTGACCTCATTAAAAATGAGGACACCGAGAAATGCAAACTAAACAGACGCAGAATTATTTGAAAAGAATTGAATTATCAAGATGTCTGGACACACTACACTACCTTACTAGCACATCTGTACTTCAAGCCAGCCATGTCACGTCGGCGCTAGGGATCAAACTTATGCAGTGACCACTCTACTTGTCCCCAGTCACATTAGAAGGTCAATGGCACTTACCTCAGGTCTGATCCGTACGCTATTAGTAGCCATGTAATCGTACGTAGCACCGAAAAGAGGCTGAAAGACGTCCGTCATCATTAAGACCTTCTGTATAGGAACTCACAAATGTTATTTCCCACTATTGGGTTCCATTTCATCAACTCGCCCATTAAATCAGGCAAAAAGCATGGCATCATTGTAAGTCCTATCAAAAAGAAGAGTTTGTAGGGATTCGTGTTAATTCTTGTCCAATAGCCACCCAGTCCTCGCAGCTTCCAGCACACGTTCCCCTTTTCACGACCTGCACGTCAGTCACGTGAGGCCATTGGTTCATTAACCACTCTGCATGTCCAAACCACCACCACCACCACCCCCCGTTTTAGTCATGCGACCTCGCAGACACCTGTGCTTATATTTGCACATGTCCACTGAACCGTAATTGTACACGACGCAACTCTGGTGAGCTGTCTAGTAAACGGTTGTGACTTCTCCACTCTGGTCTTCTTTATTTTCGCGGGAACACAGGGTAACGTATTCACTCTAGATTGTAGCAGTGACTTCGGCGTGGTTGAAAGATAAAATGCCGGGGCCCTGAACAAGTTCTAGCTATGTATTGTGCACATCCACTGCCCATCCTGATCGAACGGATGGGAAGTACTCCAGTGCGCCAGTAACTTGCAGTATTCATCCTTTAAAAAATACATGAAACAGAGAAAGGACGAAGTGAGAACGTCACTAACCGCTGAGTGAACACGCGTTCCATCGTTTCCAGGGCCCAAATGTGCCGGCCTACAGCATGTACCCCTCCGCTCAACCACAGCTGGGCACATTCGCCCAAACCTACTACCACCAGCACCAGCCACCCTTGCAGAACAGCGCCATCTACCCCACACCAACCACGGGAGGCTACATTAGGGGAGTCGCCAACCTTCCCCCCGTTCCCCCACCGCCTCCGTTTCCCCCACCATCAGCAGCTGGAACCATGATTACCCCCAGCAACATCGGTGGACCGCGGATTGATCTTCGGGCTGGGGGTGAGCAGCGATGCCTTCAGAGGTACACACCCACACCAGCACTATAACCGATGTTTTTTTGGCTTTTGTAGAAAATGATGGAACATATCTACAATATCCTGTTCTACCAATTTACCGAGGTCACATGGCTGTAAACGCTCCCTGCGTGAATGCCTCGGACCTCATTTCAGACAGCAGTTCAGGTAAGCAGATCAGCGTCCTCATCCTTTCGTAATTAATTTTCCTTTTCAAATTGTCACTGCAAACCATTTAGTTGGGATTCCTCGGCTCGGGCGATTACGCTTGTCAGTTATGCCTTAGTCGCTTCTAAGTAGCCTGCAGCATTTCCGATCCCTTTAACGACACAGGGTAAGCAGCGTATTCCACATTAAACGATTTCAAGATTTAGGCAGTAGTTTTGTAACATAGAAAACTCGAGAGACTTGCTCCGTGCGAAGGGGAAAATCAGAACAAACGGGATTTGTACAGATTCATTTTGGGAGTCAAGATATTACGAAGGAGCCTCGTCATTCAAATTCAGATAAGGTCACCATACTTGCATTAGTAAATCAAGATCCAGTGTTGCCAACACCTAGTTTTGATGTCTTCTTTACTCGACGTCGTTTCAGACATCAATATCATTAAAGACGATAACTTATTTAATGCCTTTATCGTCTGCCAAGTGTTAGACAGTGGCAAGTATCGACATAGAACCTTGTCTGGGCTAACTTCTCTTAAGGTAGTGAATGTTCGTGCTACACCTAGCAATGTGTTCACATGTTAAAACACATTTTACTAATTTTCAATGTTCACAGATGGATGACTTCTCAACAAACGCACCCACACACGCACACACTGATTCACATTTCACCACAAGTGGTAAACAAGTAATTAGGGTGCTCAAAGCTGCAATTATCGAGGGCTGTTATCGAGTTTGGCAAATTCGCTACTGCACTAGTTCATTGAAACGCTTTAGTCGCTTTAAAAATCAGCAGTTTGAGGCAACTTGTGATCTGCTTTAGTGACTTTGTTATTGTCGATCAAGAGGCAGGGTAAAGGAAGGCGACATCACCTTGATTGGTATCTAAGAATGTAGTCGTAGATTTCAGGCCTCCTAGAAACGCCTCTCGCCCGTTACTTTCTGTGCAGAACAGATTCTTCGCTTCACTGACACATTGCTGCTTTTTTCATGAAATGCATCGCCAACATTAATCTGGATAACGCCTGTAGCGAGTCGCGTTGGTTAACGTCCATTAACTCGGTCGTCGATTACTAAAACTCGCTAGCCCCCATCATCCATGTCGCACCGCCTGTTCATCCACCCTAGTGAATGTACCTCCCCCCCCCCCCCCC